ATATAATTATTGTACTGAAGATGACTTATTTGTGAGACCTAACAGGCAGCTGTTCACAATATAATATCATGTACATATACATTACCAGTCCTATTTGTAAAATTAATTCTGAAGTTTTATCTTACATACTTGTTCTATGCGACATGTCTTAGCATTACCTTCCCTTATAATAAAAGTATTCTAAACTAAATGGTGAAAATATCTTCTAGCTTTGAAGCAGGACTGTTTTTTATTCAGACCATATACTCAGACTAAGGATGTTATACAAGCCTTTTATGGAACTGTTTGTATTACATGACATTCATTTTTATGCCCTCATCTCTTGAAGACTTATGCCAACATGTAGTCCCAATGAGTTCAATGGATTAACCATGTGCATAAAGTCAGTGCTGTGTATAAGTTTTTCAGTGAGTATGAACCTTGCCAAAATAGCAAGGTCATTTGGAGCATGTGAAAAACCATAATGATTTTACATTATTAATAAATACCTCAAAACAGGAATTTCAGAAGAGAAACAATGGCAGGCATACTAATCCACAATGGTACTATCAAACGGTATATAAGCTCAGCTTTGCTTAAAGGCTGAGAAGGGTGATGACGTGGTCTGAAGGTTAACATAACCTCTGTAAAAACCAAGATGGTTTTCTGGTAGCTAATTGGTTTGCGGACTAACCCCCACAGCACTGTGGTTCTTTCTTCTCTACCTCTTTATTTCTTTAAAAAAAAATAAATACAAAGTATGAATGTAGGGTAATGCATCATTTATAAATTACCTTGTTAGTGTACAAAACAAAACACTGCTTTGAAAACAAAACAAACTCCTACTGTGGACTCCAACATGTTTGATGGAAGCCCTTCAAAAGAGTTCATGGCTTAATGGAGGCTGTTTATGTGGGGACTTTGATCTGTACCTGCTGTCCCCTGTCACTCCCTGGAAACTTGGCGGCAGATGTTGCTGCGTTAAGTTGTCTCTGAAGTGGCTCTCTGCCCTCGTCTCCCAACCACAACAGAGTCAAACTATATTAGATCTCTTTATTTGTGCCCGAGGCATGTTTAGGAGCGCAGCTGTGTCCACCCCCACTCTACCTTTAGTGTTTCAGCCCCCCAGGCGGCAAATGTGAGACCAAAACTGTTCTGCCACTCTTAACTACATCTGCTGACAATCCAGCAGCCTCGCTGCAGGCTGGTGAGGACCTGAGCCTCTGCTCTAAACAGATGTCGGCAACAACCTGCTAACTCACACCTGTACAAGCTTCCCTAACCTTGTGGATTGCTAGCTAAAAAATGTATGACTCTGAGGAGTTCCAGCCACAATCAAAGCCTCTTGGCTTAAACTGTGTGCAACCCTCTAACTGGGCCACCCTCAGCATTAGCTGGCAGTGCAGAAAAAGCAGGGACTGAGGCTGGAGCGGGGGAAGAGAAAGCTTCCTCTGCTTTGATAATTCATGCCTAAATTTCAATTACTTGATCAAGGACTTTAATTCAGCAGTGAATTCTTCTGCAGATAAGAAGTGCTAGGTTCTTAAGCAATAAAAGAGAAAAAAATCCATTTGTTCGCCTGCTATTTAGCATAACAGCACTTCATGTGCACACGTGAGTGTGCGCATGCGTACACATGTGCTGGTTTGTTTACTGACTGGAACTCACAAGAGGTAAAGCAACAACAGATCTGCAGTCAATAACCTATGAATAAATAACAGCATGATTTTCTTTTCTGGCTATAAAACATGCTGCTAGCCAGACAGATGCTGTATTCTGCTGTTCTTAGGTCACAACCTAATGATGATAGCTGTATTTTATGCTTCACCCATCAGTTTAAATTTCTACCACTTCTCTCAGCCAATAGAAGTTGAGACAGATCTTTTTCTGCTTCTTGCAAAGGAAGAGATCAGTCACCATTTTAGTGTCAAGCTCACAGAAGACGGAAGTTCGATTTCCTGCTGGTTCTAAAAATTGTCTGTATTTTTCTATGCTGGGAAAGGTTTACAAAAACACCCTTTTCATTCTTTCTTTCTCTCTTTCTTCACAACATCCTTGACAACAATAATACACTTAATTTCCAGCCTGCTCAACTACCATTTAAATTATCAGGACCTCTACTCAACTGTACCCCACTTACCTGGCAAATTATCTAGTTTAGATGCACAGCTGCATTTACTATTTTTAACATAGTGTTTCACTGAAAATATTCATATATGAAACTATGAATGTTTATGAAAGAGACATCCCCTAACTCCAGCTCTCTATTCCCTCATCCCACTCCTTCCATTATTACCTCTGCCTCCATTCTAACTAAAGTATTCTATTGCTTCATTTAAAATAGTTCTAAACTTCATCCTTTACTGTCATAGAGGTCCATACCTATTCATCTCACATAGTGTTGACATCAGCTTCCTTAATTCTCATGGTGCCTCCTTTGGGTGTACCTTATATGCTTCTGGCAGGACCATCTTCCTCACCCTGCTCTCTCTCCATCACCTTAAGTATCATCACTTCCACAAGGTCCTGTTTCCCTTTCCTTCTCTCCCCCATTAAGCTTTACTTTCCATGTATTGCAGAGCCCTGGCCTGAGTACAAATCCTTAAGTAGTGCAGAATTTACTCTAGCCGAGACTTTCCTCACTTGCATCCAGTTTCCCTTCACCTCCTTTGCTGTACATGTGGGGAGCAAGCTCAACACATCATGATGTTCTGCTTGTCTTCTCTTCCCACATGTGACTTTATCCTGCCACATAGATGTTCCCTCTGAACCCATATCACATGCACCATAAAAAACTCTCTCCTCCTTCAAACACCCCTTAAAAAACTCATTTCTCACAGCCAGCTTTTCATCAATGATCTACATTAGCCCAAACGTTAGATATATTCAATTATTTAAAAAACAAAACAAATCAGAATGACTAGCAGTTTTAATAGTTTCAACTTTGACAGAGAACCAGATATGCATCACTGAAACTTCCATGTAAACCTTATTTTGATAAGTTAAGTGATGCACAGGACTTTTGTTGCACAGCAGTGAATCTCACCCCAAAAGCATACATTACAAGAGGCAACTATCACAAAGTCTCACTGTTGTAATCCTTAACTTTTCATATTAACCCTGGACCCTTTGTTCACAGCTAAGCTTGTACTATGTTATCTAGAATTTAAACTGCCAACTTCCTGAACAGCTGCCTGCTGATCTTATTGTCATAAAGTGTCAGGCACCTATGGCTCTCTACAGCTGCTCTTTATTTATAGGCAGTTCTTGGGTGCTCAAGTCTTGTCTTATGCATCTGTGAAGGGAAATAAGGGAACATAAGCCCCTCCCCCTTACTCCAATTATGACAACTACCTTAACAGGTTGCAGCACTGTGTAAAGAGTAACTGAGTTACAGCTACTCTTCCCCTGACACCGAGATAGGAAAAGCCAAGGCAGGAGGAGGAAAAAGATGGTTCTGTTCTACTCCCACAATGCACACTAGCCAGCACAACTAAGCCAGAACAAAGCAGGAGAACTAGTCACTACCAGCTAAGGTATACAACAGATACTTTCTCTTTTTAGAGTAATGAAAGAACCAGAATCTCAACTGGGACTGCTTCTCAGAGAGCACAAATACATGGTACTCATTATTCAAGGACAAGTTATTTAAGCCAAAGTCTCATAAAATCTAGTAATGATAGTAGACCAGTGAATATACAATGAGTATGTAATTAAATAATGCTGGGGGTTGCATATTTTTAACCATCATCAAGGACAGCTAATTCAAAGAATTTTACTACATAGGCTTCCTGTTTAAGCAAAAAATCCTCCCTCCCAATCCCTGCTTTAATCTGTCAAATCGAAGTAGGATAGATCTACTAAGTTAGTGAGCTATTAAGAAAAAAATAAGAGGCTATGTCATTTTAAAATAACAGTCTGTTAAAGGTAAAGAAATGTGGTAGGTAATTAATGGTGCACAACATATTTGAACTGCCGGCAGTTATCTATCTGACTAGGAAAAGGGAAGTTAACTAAAGTTCAGTGCCCTTGTATCATGTGTAGTGTTATGCACATAGAACTGAAGACCGATGTAGTCCTCGTGCGCTCAGTTCTTGCAGTTGCTACAAATATTCATTTTTCAGTTTGTTTTTTGTAATTAAGAAACTACTGCTGATACCACATTTAAATAACATGCACCTCCATGAAAAAGTGATGCACAAACTCTGGGCCAGTCTCAACATGTGTAAACTGGTATAACTCCACTGATTTCAGTAGAATTATATCCTACTCAATGCTGACCTGTTGATCCACAAATATTCAGTTATTACCCAACAGGTCTAAGAATATAAACAGATGTTGTCTTTGTGCTGCCATAACGTTTTTTCTGTTGAGAGTCGCAGCCCTGGGACCACACCAGAGAGTGTTAAACTTGCTCTGGTGAGGTTGCATGGCTGAGACCACCAATCAGCTGACTGGTTTCAGCCCTGGGACTACATTAGAACTAGCTTTCCCTGCTTCTAGAGATGCACCCCAGAGATAACCCAGAGCACATTTCTACAAATGCAGAACAGGTTTCCCATTGTCCCACACAATCAACAGGCAGAACAACAGGTGATGACTAAAGCAGCACAGCTGATCCATTTCAATTGATGAGGTCCATTTATACCCTAGATGAGATACATTTGTGAGGTACGCTTTAGGGTCACTGGGAGGAAAAATCTATGAACAATGTAACATGTTTCAGATTCTATCCAATTTAAAATTTTCAAAATAGTTACAAAATTTTAGTTAACTGCTGCAGGAGACAAAGGGTCTAGAGCTTTCCTTGGTTTTGGTGTTTGACGTTTTTATTTGTCTCCTTTTAAACATAATACTGTAAAGGAATTGCACAACTTTTCTTTAGCTAAGGGGAGAACATGCCCAATGTCCAGCCTTGCTTGTAACTAAAGTCCTGATTTCACAAAATCACCTAACGTGCTTATTAAACAAAACCCGGTCCCCTCACCACCTTCCACTCTCCCACACAGACGCACACAAACCTCATCTCCTTGCTGGGGTCGCATCAGAGAAACTCTGTCATACTGCCGTCGTAATAGAGCCCACAGTGCATCTAGTCGACCCTGTAACAAGGAAGCAAGTTTACTTCTAGTGTTACAGTGTACACTGGTTCATTAGGATGCATTTATTCAAGAGAGCTACTGTTCTGGGAAATCTCCCAGGGAACTGATTTACCCAAAGTCTTGTAAACATGCGAAGTTATACAGGCATAATTTCAAACCACTGTAGTTAAATTGATGCAAAAACCTATGAGAACACTTTTTGTTTAAACCTGTGGTGCTCAAACCCTGCCACAGTGCTGTGTCATCTGACCCACAGAGCTCCCCCACAGGTCCATGGAGAGCTCTCTGGGCTGTGGCCCTGCATATGGGGCCTGATCCCAGTGTGTAGGGCTGGGCAGAGGTGATGCAGAGCCCCAAGAGCCCAATCCCCACACATAGGACCGGAAAGAGGAAGATTGAGGACCCCAGAGCCCAATCTCCACATGTGGGACCACGTAGAGGTGGCACAGAGGCCCTTGAGCCCAACCCTTGCACAAAGGACTGGGTGAAGACAGTGGAAGGCCCAATCCTGGTACATGGAAGCCAATCTGACACAAGAACTAGCCGCAGGCCCCTCATCTGGCCCACAGGGACAAAAGGTTGAGCACTAGACCTGTGTGAAGTAGCAAGTATTCGCTTTGGATTCAGCTGATTTGGAGAACAGTGATTCGATTCGGAGATTTGAATCACCATCCCAATTTGATTTGGCTGAATTGGATCCAAAAGATTTGGTACCGCTTCAGAGATTTGGCCATAGACTAAACAGGCAGCTGACACAGCTGCCTCCAGCTGGTAAGTCTGCTAGGGCTGGGGGACAGATTGGGGCTGGGACAAGCTGCCCAGCCAGAGCAGGGGCACATTACTTGGGGAGAGGGGCAGGGGGGCCCAGGATGCAGGCGCGGCAGTGCTGAGTGGGGGCTCTGCCCTGCTGCTGCTTGCCCAGCTGGGGTGAGGGGCTGGTTTCATAGTTTCATAGTTTCTAGGGTCGGAAGGGACCTGAGCAGACCATCTAGTCCGACCCCCTGCCAAGGCAGGAAAGAGTACTGGGGTCAAACGACCCCAGCAAGGTGTTCATCTAACCTCCTCTTAAAAACCCCCAGGGCAGGAGCCTGCACCACCTCTCTTGGAAGTTGGTTCCAGACCCTAGCCGCCCTGACCGTGAAATAGCGCCTCCTGATGTCTAACCTAAACCTACCCTCTGCCAGCTTGTGACCATTGTTCCTGGTCACTCCTGGCGGTGCTCAGGGGAACAGTGACTCCCCCAAT